AGTGTGACGTTTGAATATGTGCCGAGATTTTACTCTTTACTATTATTAAGATAATTAATAAAGGAGCACAAGCTTAATTTCAATGACGAGTTTGTGGTTTACCATACTTGTAAACGATTAAGCGACGAATCATTACTCTAGTGCGAGGGCATCGAATTTATGCTCACCGAACCACTGCGTCGCCCAGCGAGGTGAGTATATAGTATTACGCTCGCTATTATGTATCTCGCTCGCTATTATAGTATCGCACTACGGATGTTTTCATTGGCGCTGATGGTCAGCGCGCTACGCGACTGACGTTACGCGACCGACGTCAGCGACAGAGGAATTCAGGCCTTAAATACTGATATTATTTTTGTTATAAATAAATTCGCGTAATTTATCTTTTTAAAATTATTTTGTTAAAATTATTTCCGTTGGTAATAAAATCACTCAGTAATTGTTAATTAACACAGTTACTTACTTTCTTTAAAGTTTAAGTTCAACTCGGCAAACTCGGTATGTGTACGCAAGGAAAACTAAATCTTTATTCTTGAGAAAACTTCCGTGCTCAGGCTTTTAGTACTCGCCTTAAAATTTCACAGAGAGTAAGCAAACAGAATCTTAACAACGCAACGCCGGCACCAAATAAATTATTAATTGCAATTTTATATATTATTAAGAACCATGCATTGCTGTGGTATTTGAATTGCTTGTAAGAGAGTTCCAGGAGGAATGTTTTCTTTATAGGAGTAGGGGCAAACGAACATGAGGCTCACTTGATGGTAAGTGACTAGAGCCGCCCATGAACAACTGCAACACCAGAGGAATTGCAGATGCGTTGCCGGCCTTTTAAAAAGGAGTGAGCTCTATTCTTGAAGGTCCCTGAGTCGTATCGGCCCGAAAAAAATCGCTGGTTGTAATCAATTCCACAAGGAAGTTGTGCGAGGAAGAAAACTTCTTCTAAATCGCACAGTGGTGGACCGCGAAGCATCCAGATGGTGTGGATGGTATCGCGAGTTTTGTAGCGATGTGCGATGGTTAAATTAAGCGGCTAAAATAATTCCTCAAACTAACATCTTTCAGGTGGCCGTACTCCTTTTCTGCCTAGGAGTCCATCTGGATAGGTAACACCCTCTTACATATTCTTTCCGCCCAGCAGCAGAGCGTGCACTGCTGTGTACCAGTCTGAGTCAGGGTATACGATCGGAAGGTTGGAGCCAGTATAATTACATTGCGAGTCATGCCATCCTAGTCCTCAGAAGTGACAACGATCTGTAGCCTTCTTTGTTTAAAGTCTGTACGAATGCAGTCTGGTAGTCACCGTTTACCACCAGCACGGCTAGCATGGGCTGGCGACAAAAAACTTATACCCCGATTATATCCACTGCCAAAAGATAAAATTATCTTGAACTTATGCCAAAGCACGTCAACGGGGAGAAGTATATCCACGTTTCGGGAGGCTGGAAGTCGTCAAGTCTGCGTGCGAGACGATTCGTAATGAATCTCGATAACAGCACGTAGACGCGGCTCAGAAGGGTAAGCGTCTGTAGTTCTTCAAGAGAGCGTTGTCGCCTTTCTTGAAAAACAAGACCACCGCAATTCTGCTCCACGCCTTCGGAGTAGTGCCACCATGGAGGACGAAATTAAAGAGCTTCTGAAGAACTTCAAGTACCTGTTTTTCACCCGCTTTCAAAAGCTCCGCTGTAATCCCAGCCTCGCCCGGGGATTTTCCGTTTTTAAGGTGCTGGAGAGCCATTCTAATCTCGCTCAGACTGACGTCCGGGATATCTTCGGAATAGTGTCGGATAAGACTCGCTCTGGGATCGTTACTCACACTTGCGTGTGGCTCCAACGATGACGTGTACAGCTGCTCATAGAACCTCTCAATCTCACTCAAAATCTCAGGCGTCCCGAAAACGATGCTGCCACATTCAGTCTTCAGCTTTGACAGTTGGCTCTTTCTGGCAGACAGATCTCGTGCAAAGACTTTGGAGCCTTGGTTCCGCTCGATCGCTTCTTCAAAATTCGTCGCGCCGCATGCATTTGGAGATCTGTCTGTTCAGTTGCCTGTATGCTGTCAAATCTGTTGAAGAATGTAGCTTCATCTTCCGTCTAACAGCCATGAGATTAAGAGTGTGATCGGAGAGTTTTTGTGTTCTTCTGCGGCGGGTCTTGCAGAACTTAGCTCCGACCGCATGGACAGTATCTACGAGCTTATCATTCATATCGTCGACTTCATTGCAGTCTTCTAGGCACTGAAAATGGTTTTGTAACGCGAGCTGAAAGGTTTCGGGACTTTAGAACAGAGCACGAGGGGGACGGAGCGTTGAGTTCATTAGACGAGATCTTTCCAACTTAACGTTTAGATTCAGTATGCCTCTAACCATTTGGTGATCGCTACCAGTTTTCACCCTCGCGATCACGGATACATCACTGAACATTTGTCGTCTGGTCGTCATAATGAAGTCAATCTCATTTTTTGTGGAACAGTCGGGGCTCGACAAAATCCACTTCCTGTGGGGCCGCTTTTGGAAGAAAGAGTTCATCATAAAGAGTCCCTCTTTCTCCATGAATTCGGCCAGCTGCTGGCCTCTTGGGTTCCGTTGCACTATTCCAAATTTTCCTACTTTCAGCTCACCGTTCTCTCTTGTGCCTAGTTTTGCATTGAAGTTTCCCATTAACACCGTATAGTAGGTTTTGGAGGAATGCATGGCTCTAGAGATATCCTCACACATTTGCTCCACCTCCTCATCGGGGTGTGCCGAGGTTCTGATCTCTGGTTGGAATACTAGATAATCGCGGGAAAAATACCAACCACGCACGCATCGTTGGTAGAGCGTACTCTCCCTGCCAACTACTAACTAGCAGCGCTGCCAATAGAACTCACTCGTTTTATACCGGGAAATAATACAAAAATAAATTTAATAATACAAACAAAAACAATCTGTTGTTGTTATAAATTATTATAATAAATACTACCCACCCAAATTGTGCTATTTCTGGTTGGAGTAAACTTGATAAAAGTACCTAATTTGTGCTTTATATCAACGATTGAGAAGCGTTCGATCTCTCGATATTTTTAACAATAGCATCCTCGCGGAGGAATTGCAATGTAGAAATAGAAATAGGAAAAAATATTCGATATGGATTGTAAATAATACTTATTAATAATAAATTTTAAGGTAAACTCACCTAAAATCGATATTTTGACTGTCTCAATATTATATAATCTGCCACGCAAACGGGATAAGATAACATATTATACATGTTTTGTAACCAATCATAAAATCTGATAACAATGCTAACTAGCTGATTTCTCCCGAGTCTGGAAAATTCCATCCGAATCCCCGTATACCTCCCTAGATTTCCACGCATGCTAAAGATGTTGCACGCACATGCTACAAAAGTCATTTTGTATTATGTTGTATGATTACGTGATACAATTTAATGCGTGCAGTGATTTACTGAATGACATGACAATGAAATGAATGAAAATGACAGGTTTGAGGTTGAGTTGTTATGGGCGGCGATGACAATGATCATAAAGTAAAAAATAGAAGCTAACACAAATTCGAGTGTATAGTGATAACTGCACTAATTAAAAATAATTACTACGTTTACAGTTAATTTGAAAAAACAGTTAAAAGTAAGTATCGAAGAGAAAACAGGAGGACGAAGTTACGGGGACAAATATGTCCCACGGGAGACATTAGTCACGGTATTTGTTTAACGTTTAACGAGTTATCTAACAATCCATCTATATAAATTTTTTTCCTTATAAAATGATATATAGATTGTTGATATAGGCATTACAGATAATACTATATGATTCGGTTTATACGGACAGGAGACTTCTGCGGATTAATGATGATGAAGAAGAAAAATATCGTACTTATTACTAACTAACTTCCCGCATGACTATGGCTCCGGGCTGCAAATTTTAGTGATTTTTGAGTAGACATTTTGTGAAAGTTAGCCCCCAAATGAACTTTTCAAATGTTGCTAAGAAAACCTCACAAATATAGAAATGTTAATTAAAATATAACGAACACGGTAGGAATTGAAGTTCTGAAAATAGAGACAATCTGCATACACACATACTTGAAAAGAGTGGGGTTAAGTATAAAAATACATTATAATATATATATATTTAATTTATTTTTAAATAATACCTAGTCAGGTCAGAAGTATTGTCACACAGTAAAAACTTTTCTTTTGGAATGCTGGCCACAAAAAAGTTTATTGAATTCGAATTTCGAATTATTCATGAAAATAAAACTGTATACTTTTTAGAATTTTACTCATTTTTAAATATGGAGTGGACGCTTAAAGAAGACCGTGTTGCAGTTATTGCGTTGCATCGTTGCGGTTACGCGCCAATTCAAATTTTTGACATACTGAAAAATTTGAATATAATCAAAAGATTCGTTTATCGTACCATCAAACGATACAATGAAGACTCTAGTGTAAATGACAGGTCAAGAAGTGGTCGCCCTCGGTCTGTTAGGACTCCAGCAGTGATAAAAGCTGTGAAGGCGCGAATTCAAAGAAATCCCAAACGTAAGCAAAAACTGTTGGCCCTTCAGATGGGGTTAAGCAGAACCACGGTGAAAAGGGTGTTAAATGAAGACTTAGGGCTTCGGGCATATTGAAGAAAAATATGACATAGTTTGAATGCTCGTCTAATGGACCTGAGACTGAAGAGATGCCGCGCTTTGTTGAAGCGGTACGCGGAAAAAAAATATCGGGAAATCCTTTTTTCGGATGAAAAAATTTTTACCGTAGAAGAGAGCTACAACAAACAAAATGATAAGGTGTACGTACACAGTTGTGAAGAAGCGAGTAACAGTATTCCGTCTGTCCAAAGAGGTCATTTACCATCCTCGCTCATGGTATGGTTGGGAGTTTCTTATTGGGGCTTAACAGAGGTACATTTTTGTGAGAAAGGTGTAAAAACGAATGCAGTTGTGTATCAAAATACAGTCCTGATGAACCTTGTTGAACCTGTTTCTCATACCATGTTCAATAACAGGCACTGGGTATTCCAACAAGATTCGGCGCCAGCTAATAGAGCGAAGAGCACACAAGACTGGCTGGCGGCGCGTGAAATCGACTTCATCCGGCACGAAGACTGGCCCTCCTCCAGTCCAGATTTGAATCCGTTAGATTACAAGATATGGCAACACTTGGAGGAAAAGGCGTGCTCAAAGCCTCAACCCAATTTGGAGTCACTCAAGACATCCTTGATTAAGGCAGCCGCCGATATTGACATGGACCTCGTTCGTGCTGCGATAGACGACTGGCCGCGCAGATTGAAGGCCTGTATTCAAAATCACGGAGGACATTTTGAATCAAATTTAATGTCATAAGAATCTATGTTTTGTTAAGTTCATTTTGGTATATAAATGGATAAACTTAATGAATAAACTTGTTTCAATTATTTTATATTAAACATGTGACAGAATTTATGACCTGACTAGGTATAAGGCTATATATTTTACTAATTTTATATTTTTAGGCTCCAGCGGCTCCGAGTTGTTGAAACACATGTTACGACGTTGCGTTTCAGGCGACAGAGGGAAACAAACCAGAAGATGTGCAGCAGCCTATTCATAATAACCAGGTAATAACACAATCACGGTGTATTTAAATAAAACTAATTTTCGAATTTTATCGCGTATATTAACTTATTTTATATTCCCGACGTTTCGAGCACTTTACAGCACCCATGGACACGGGGGGAGGGGGGGGGGGGGACTGAGGTGCATGACGTCCCAATGTCATAGTTAACCACGGCTACCTCCAGATTAAAAATTATTAATTTAGTTCCGATCTACGCAGTATGAACTTACAGTATCTTGAAGTCTTGTAGTTGTATGCTTGGGTCGGTATTTAATTTTATTAATTATGGTATCCCAAGCAGATGGTATCGCCGAACTATCTTCTCTATTGAAATTAGGATGTTCATGAATCAAAAGATTTCAATAGCCTCGTGAATCATCCTTGCAAGGAATTGGTGTTCTTTAGCGAGGATTTCTGGTCTATCAAATCTAATGTAGTGATGGGCGCGATCCTATACGTGTTCACAGACTGCAAACTTCCCGCAGCGTCGATTCTTCACATCAGCTATGTGTTCTTTAACGCGGGTTTTTATGGATCTTTTGGTTTGTCCTATATAAGAGAGACCACGTTCACAATCAAGCTTGTACACTTCTGCATCTTGCAGAGGGACATTACACTTGACTGATGGTAAAAACTGACTAATCTTCTTCGGCGGCTTGAAGTATGTTTTAATGGAAGCACGGTTCAAGATGTAGCCAATCTTGTCAGTGACACCTCTGACATATGGCAGTACTTCAGGTACTCGCTTGACTGTGGCCGGCTTCACTCGTTCACTGTGACGTAGGCGCGGTACCCGAAGCTTATTATTGTGCTACTTGCTTATTGTTGTGTAACTTGCTTGACGTGTTGGAGCTCGGCGGCCAGGTGTTTACTGTCACAGATCCCTCGTGCTCTCTGAAACAAAGATTTACCCACGGTAACTAACTGGGAAGGTCGGCTCGACCGGAGATGGGCCACGCTCTCACAGAATACCGTTGTTAAATAGTCGCTTAAAACTGGTGTATTTCTTATGGTGAATGTAGATAACCGTAGACTTTTATTGGAAACGAGGATATCCATACTAGTCAACGGGGATAAAAACGCATTACGAATTTTCGCATTTCAATTCTTAATCGAGGATAGATGTAAATGTCTATGGACCAAAGTATTTACTTACCATCAGGTAAACTATGTGTTTGTCACACAGTCTAAAATATTTTTAAACCTATGATTTATCTAAGTAGAATTTAATTATTCACTATCATTTACCCTTCATCCCTTAGAATAATTTTAAATTTAAATTAAATTATAAATTTTATTATAATAATATAGTTATTGCCGTGTAGTGGCGGTAAAGAATATCCACTACCCCATATCTTCCCGTGAGTGTCGTAAAAGGCGACAAAGGGAAACAGGCAGGAGATGGGCAGCAGCATATTCCTGATAACAGCAAAATTAGAATAAAAAATTGCGGTTGCCAACCCGCTCGCCAGCGTGGCAACTATGGCAATATACCCCCATGAGCAATGACAATAATAAACGGGCCCCAGTCTCCAGCGGCCCCGCTATTCCTGGCTACGGTGGCGACCATGGTAACGGCGGGGCAGGGGGTGTTAAGAATCTCCGGTGGAGGTTCGGTTGCCACCTAAGACGACTCGACCTGGCAACATACAACGCACGCACCCTGAAGACTGACGAGAAGACCGTGGAGCTGGAAGAAGAGATAGACACGTTACGCTGACATATTATAGGATTATCCGAGGTCCGAAGAGAGGGGGAGGACACGGTAATCCGCGATTCTGGTAACTTGCTCTATCACCGGGAGGGCGACCATCTGTCCCAAGGAGGTGTCGGATTTATCGTCCACAAGTCTCTCGTTAACAACGTTGTAAAGATTGAGAGTGTGTCGGCGAGGGTTGCGTACCTTATACTCAGAATCACCAAACGGTATTCGCTGAAGGTCATACAGGTTTACGCACCAACCTCGGCACACCCCGATGAGGAGGTGGAGCAAATGTGTGAGGATATCTCTAGAGCCATGCATTCCTCCAAAACCTACTATACGGTGTTAATGGGAAACTTCAATGCAAAACTAGGCACAAGAGAGAACGGTGAGCTGAAAGTAGGAAAATTTGGAATAGTGCAACGGAACCCAAGAGGCCAGCAGCTGGCCGAATTCATGGAGAAAGAGGGACTCTTTATGATGAACTCTTTCTTCCAGAAGCGGCCCCACAGGAAGTGGATTTGGTCGAGCCCCGACGGTTCCACAAAAAATGAGATTGACTTCATTATGACGACCAGACGACAAATGTTCAGTGATGTATCCGTGATCGCGACGGTGAAAACTGGTAGCGATCACCAAATGGTTAGAGGCATACTGAACCTAAACGTTAAGTTGGAAAGATCTCGTCTAATGAACTCAACGCTCCGTCCCCCTCGTGCTCTGTTCTAAAGTCCCGAAACCTTTCAGCTCGAGTTACAAAACCATTTTCAGTGCCTAGAAGACTGCAATGAAGTCGACGATATGAATGATAAGCTCGTAGATACTGTCCATGCGGTCGGAGCTAAGTTCTGCAAGACCCGCCGCAGAAGAACACAAAAACTCTCCGATCACACTCTTAATCTCATGGCTGTTAGACGGAAGATGAAGCTACATTCTTCAACAGATTTGACAGCATACAGGCAACTGAACAGACAGATCTCCAAATGCATGCGGCGCGACGAATTTTGAAGAAGCGATCGAGCGGAACCAAGGCTCCAAAGTCTTTGCACGAGATCTGTCTGCCAGAAAGAGCCAACTGTCAAAGCTGAAGACTGAATGTGGCAGCATCGTTTTCGGGACGCCTGAGATTTTGAGTGAGATTGAGAGGTTCTATGAGCAGCTGTACACGTCATCGTTGGAGCCACACGCAAGTGTGAGTAACGATCCCAGAGCGAGTCTTATCCGACACTATTCCGAAGATATCCCGGACGTCAGTCTGAGCGAGATTAGAATGGCTCTCCAGCACCTTAAAAACGGAAAATCCCCGGGCGAGGCTGGGATTACAGCGGAGCTTTTGAAAGCGGGTGAAAAACAGGTACTTGAAGTCTTTCAGAAGCTCTTTAATTTCGTCCTCCATGGTGGCACTACTCCGGAGGCGTGGAGCAGAATTGCGGTGGTCTTGTTTTTCAAGAAAGGCGACAACGCTCTCTTGAAGAACTACAGACGCTTACCCTTCTGAGCCGCGTCTACGTGCTGTTGTCGAGATTCATTACGAATCGTCTCGCACGCAGACTTGACGACTTCCAGCCTGCCGAAACGTGGATATACTTCTCCCCGTTGACGTGCTTTGGCATAAGTTCAAGATAATTTTATCTTTTGGCAGTGGATATAATCGGGGTATAAGTTTTTTGTCGCCAGCCCATGCTAGCCGTGCTGGTGGTAAACGGTGACTACCAGACTGCATTCGTACAGACTTTAAACAAAGAAGGCTACAGATCGTTGTCACTTCTGAGGACTAGGATGGCATGACTCGCAATGTAATTATACTGGCTCCAACCTTCCGATCGTATACCCTGACTCAGACTGGTACACAGCAGTGCACGCTCTGCTGCTGGGCGGATAGAATATGTAAGAGGGTGTTACCTATCCAGATGGACTCCTAGGCAGAAAAGGAGTACGGCCACCTGAAAGATGTTAGTTTGAGGAATTATTTTAGCCGCTTAATTTAACCATCGCACATCGCTACAAAACTCGCGATACCATCCACACCATCTGGATGCTTCGCGGTCCACCACTGTGCGATTTAGAAGAAGTTTTCTTCCTCGCACAACTTCCTTGTGGAATTGATTACAACCAGCGATTTATTCGGGCCGATACGACTCAGGGACCTTCAAGAATAGAGCTCACTCCTTTTTAAAAGGCCGGCAACGCATCTGCAATTCCTCTGATGTTGCAGTTGTTCATGGGCGGCTCTAGTCACTTACCATCAAGTGAGCCTCATGTTCGTTTGCCCCTACTCCTATAAAGAAAACATTCCTCCTGGAACTCTCTTACAAGCAATTCAAATACCACTGCAATGCATGGTTCTTAATAATATATAAAATTGCAATTAATAATTTATTTGGTGCCGGCGTTGCGTTGTTAAGATTCTGTTTGCTTACTCTCTGTGAAATTTTAAGGCGAGTACTAAAAGCCTGAGCACGGAAGTTTTCTCAAGAATAAAGATTTAGTTTTCCTTGCGTACACATACCGAGTTTGCCGAGTTGAACTTAAACTTTAAAGAAAGTAAGTAAATGTGTTAATTAACAATTACTGAGTGATTTTATTACCAACGGAAATAATTTTAACAAAATAATTTTAAAAAGATAAATTACGCGAATTTATTTATAACAAAAATAATATCAGTATTTAAGGCCTGAATTCCTCTGTCGCTGACGTCGGTCGCGTACCGTCAGTCGCGTAGCGCGCTGACCATCAGCGCCAATGAAAACATCCGTAGTGCGATACCGACCGCTCCACGGTACAGGCGTCTCCAAGTGGATTTGGGATAATTATGAATCCGTTTATAAATTGTTTAGTTGCTGCAGCATATTACGCAAGCGGAGACGGCGTCAATGTAGAAAAAGATATCACATTCACCCAATTGTTGCTGATAGGGTGACGAATGGTGAATTTTCTACATTATTTGAAAAGCTACGTCAGGACGAGGAACAGTTCTTTAATTATTTTAGAATGAAAGTAAAAACTTTTGATGAACTGTTATCAAAGTTAGAAAATCACCTGAAA